CCCCCCCCCCCGACTCACCCGCAGCCTGGCCTGTGGAGTATCATTGCAGGGCCGACGCCCGACCGACCCAACATCCTGCAAGCCCATGCCATGGACACAGTGATCGCGCTCACATGTGAAAGTGTCGGGCTTGCCCCGCCCCCCGCCGCTCTTGGCTCTTGGCGGGCCGGCATAGCCCGGAGCGCAGGCACCTCGGGCCCATGCCCGGCCGCATTTTGTCCGGGGGCCGTTCAACTTGTCAGAAGAAGCTCGGTGCACACGAAATAGGTCGGAAAGAAACACCACTAACTGGGCTATCCTTCTGCTGGCGTCGGTGATACAGGCTCCCGTTCTCCGGTGTTTCTTCTGCCTCATTCGGCAATTAAGCATCAGGCCTTTTCGCCGGCGATCTTCCCCGCGATCTCTCTCCCCTTTCCTCTTTTCTCGCCCCCTCTCTTTCCGTGTCCCTCCCTCTTTGTTTCTCTCCCGCCCTCCGCTCCCGCACGAACAACAACACAGCAGAGGAGTTGGGGTGGTGCATTTGCTGTGCTTGCCAAGATGGTCACCGGTAGACGCGCAGCTCGCGGCCCGGCATGCTCGCCTTGCCCTTTGGAGGCACGGCGAGCACAGGGGGGCAGGAGGGGTCCCGCGGCAGATTTTGTGCGCATGTGTACCCCCACATGCAGGTGTGGGTGCAGATGCCCTTCTGTGATCAAGGACGAGGCCTGGTGCTGGATAGGGGGGAGGAGGGGCCAGGGGGGGGGGGGAAACCCCGGGGACGTGGATGTATGTATATGTGTGCGCGTGTGCGCGCATACGCATGTGTGTTGTGTGTGAATGAATGAGGGTCCTTCGCGTTTCCACCCCCCCCCCCCCACCCCTCGCATAAGTGCATCCAGGTGTAGAAGCGGCGTCGGTGCAGAGAGGGAGAGGAGCAACCCGTCCGGGTGCTGGTCTGCCCCGTCACTCGCCTCATGGAGGTTGGAGTGCGCGCTTACACCCTCAGAGCAGTGGGCTCGCGGTGTGTTGGCGTCCAGCCACCCATCGCCCGAGGAAGGTACTGACCGAGGCCACCTGCCCGGCGCGGGTCGACTCGACCGAAAAGCACACAGCCCGCGTTTCCATCGGGGCTCCGGTGTCGGCCGATCGCAAAGGAACCTCCTCCGGGTCCACCTCGGCGGTGGGTCCCACCGTCCAGAAGCTCGGGTCCGAGGGGCTCAAAGGGGCGGACTGCTCGAATGCGCCCCGTGCCGGAGAGGGCGGAACCACGACAAAGCCGTCCAAGGCCGTTGGACCAAAGGTCCCCAGCGCGTCGGAGCCCGACTCATCCACGAAGAGGTACGGCTGCTGTGTGTCCAGGCCGGAGACCGATGCCACGGGGCCGTCCCCTGGCGCCCGAACTGGCAGCACACCGAAGGGAGTCGATGCCAGGGCCCGGCGGAGGAGCTGCCAGTCAGCATCCCAGAAGAAGGAAAGCCCGGTGACCGAGCGGTCCAGCAGACTGGCATTTGAGCCTGACCCCGGCCCCGAACGGGCACCCTCCCCCGCGTCCGAGGAGGAGGAAGAGGAGACAGAAGCCGAGGAGGATGGATTCGGGGAGACCACCCCCGAGCCGGACGAGGAGGGCCCGGGCCGCCAGCCGGCCCCGATGGCCAAGTCCATTTCGTCCAGTTCCAGCAGGCGTCGAGCCTCCGGACCGGCCAGCGCCCGGTCGCTGACCACCTGGAAGTTGCACCGGCGTACGCGGCCGAACCCCGCGTGGCCGGGGACATTGGTGCGCAGGATGAAGCGCATGGCCCGGTGCGACACCCCGCACACCAAGATATCCACACCGAGGATGGCATAGTGCAGGATATAGTCATTGTTGCCGGGCCGGCCGCTGGCCGACCCGGCCAGGTCCGCCAGCGGCAGGGCATTGCCCACCGAATGCCCGAGCCCATATGAGTGCCCGGATGAATGCTGGCGCACGGCGTCCACCAGCTGGGCCCGATCGACGGTCAGCGGGTGCAGATCCAGCATCGTGGACATGCTGGACACTTGCACACTTGCTGGCAATTCGCCCGAGGCACGGAGGTTCTCATTGGCCAGTCGGAGGGCGGCCAGGGCCCGATCATGGTAGATGGCGTGCGCGGCCGCCGGCGAGGAAACCACCGGCGGGGTGGCTGCCACAGCGGTCGACTCCCCGGGTCCGAGGGCCGACGCGGGTCCCCCGGCCCCCACTCGTGGGAGCAGCCGCGCCGCCGAGGGGTAATGCACGGCACACGGGGCCCCCAGGCGGTCCTGGATCGATTGACTGCCCTGCCCAAGCCGAACAACCAGCCGCCGCAAGGGGAACACCAAAGCCGGGACCGTTTCGCAGAAGGATCGCGACACGGCCAGCGGCAGCGCATCCAGGAAAAGAACCACCGGCTCGTGGGCCGGCTGCAGAGGCGAGACCGTCGGCGGCGGGCGCTTCGGCCAGAGCAGCGGCAGATGGACATTTCGGCCGCCGAAAACCGGGTCCGCCATCAGCCGGGGCGACCGGCCGCCGGACCCACATTGTTCGGTGCCAGCCATCGGCGGGGAATGCTGCGACCAGCCGGCGGCATGAGGGTACGACTGCCTGTGCGAGTGTTGCGCATCCAGCGGATCCAGCCCCGTCGAGTGGGGAACATCCAGCAGGGCGGTATCCGCGTGAATGAGCACCCGTTGGCAAACCGATGGCAGGCGTGTGGGAAAGCGGATGCTCTCACCGATGGCCGGGCGTCGGGCTTCCCCGAGGCCGGCTGCAGGGAAGTGGAAAACAAAGCTGATCCCCGGGTAGTCCAGGATGGCGATGGCTGTTGCGCCGTTGCCCCCGACAAACCCCCCGAACACGGGGCTCTTCGTAAGGCCGAAGGCATCGATAATGTCATCCGGGGTGATGGGGCCGGTGTTGGAGCTGCTCAAGTGGGTGGGGGCGGGCAAGTGGAGGGGCGGACGGAAAAAAAAGGGTGTCCAATGTCATGGTCAGCCGGCCATGCCACAGGAGGAGGAGGAGGAGCAGGAGGAGGAGGAGCAGGCGGAGAAGTCGCGAAGGGGGAGGGGCGCACAAGAAGAGCGAGCCGCGGTAGGACAGGTGGACCGCCTGAGAGATGGTCACATCAATCAAGCACAGACGCTGGCAGACCGGGTGGAAATGCAGGGTCACTTGGCGCGATGCGACGTCCAGTTGCAGGTGAGGAGCCGGGGAGTTGGGCTAACCAGGGACCGAGAGTCAGATGGCCGGACGGCTTATTGCCCCTTGCCCCCCCTCCCACATGCGATGCCAGCAACAGCGTGGAAATATGTACCCTGCGATCATAGCGCACGACGAATTGATGGAGGATCGTGGTTGGCGATCGTTCAAACTGGGCCAAGATGTCGGAAATGGGCGACCCCAGGAAAAGGTCGCCCAGATAGGCGGCCGGCTGGACGTCCAGCACCCACGGTACGCTAATTCGCAGCAAGAGGGAAACCGCCAGGGTGAGCAGGATGAAACAGGCACCGGGTGGGGAGATGATCGGCCAAATGGAACGTACGTCCACGATGGGGGAATGGGCGATTTCAGAGGAAGAGACCGTTGGCCAAGCATGCTTGGTGCGGGGGCGGCGGCGGCAGCGCGGTGGTGGCCGCGAGGTTAAGCGGACAAGAGAGGGGAGGGAAGGAGAAGGCTCAAAGGAAGTGGGCGGAGGGAGAGGCGAAGTGGAGGGGGCGAGGGGGGGAGAGGGTGGATGCAAATCGTGTGGCCTCCGGCCCCGGGAAGAGCGGCACCCATCCCCTTGAGGAGCGCGGCGCGATGGAGAGGAACAGGCGACATCGCTCTAGCGTTCGGGAGTGTTCCCCCTCCCCGCATCGCTATCACCCCTGACCACTCGGAAGACCCGCTGGGGGGATCTGATCGAAGGGGGGGGGAGAGCGAGCCCGCTGATCGCCGGCCGGCAACAGAATCTCCCTTCCCAACATAATCCCTGGCCCCAATCGGGAAACGTCACACCCCAACACGTGAACAGATCACACCACATTCATGGTGGGTCTGACCCGAGCCCTGTAGCGGCCTTATGCGTGGGGACATGGGGTTTATCTTCGCGGACGGCCTAACGCTGTTGGAATCACTGAAAAGCGCCGCTGGCGGGGGGGGGGGGAGTAAAGATGCCCGGGGGAAGGCGGCTCGCGGCGGCGGGGGTATCTTTGTGCTCTGCCTACCTCGCCTCTCCCTCCCCCGACTTAGGGCCCACGCACGCTCGTGGTGGGGAACGTATTTATGTATTGCTACTATGATACAGGGTCTCATTTGTGCATGTGTCTAGAAAGCAGCAAAGAAGCAGAGGGGAAGGCGAGAAAGGGGCAGGGGGGGGGGGGACGAGAAAGGGGGAGGGGGTAGAGGGAGAGAGAGAGAGAGCATATCTCGGGGGCCACTCATTTTCGCTCCCTTTTAGCGGCGGCGGGCATGGGCGCGCGCAATGGCCGTCTTCTGGGCCACGGAGTTCACCTTGTCGCGGTTGCGATTCTTCACGTTGGCAACGGCGTAGAAGTTGCCGGCCTTGGCGGGGCGCTTGGCGGCCTCCTCGGCGGCGGCCTCACGCTGGGCCTTGGACTCGGCCACCTGCTGGGCAGCCAGCTCGGCAGCGGCCTCCGGCGAGGCGCCCTTGCGCATGGCACGGACCATGATCTGCTGGGCACGAGTGGCGCGGGCCTTGACGGCCTTGGTGAGAGCCAGCTTCTTGGCCCCGGCGGCCGGGCGCTTGGCCCCGGAGGCGGCCTTCTTGCCGGAGGGGGCACCCTCATCCTCGCTGGCGGAGCCAGCGTCATCCGAATCCGAGCCATCCTCCTGCTCGCCCTCGGAGGCGGAAGAGTCGCCATCGGCAGCGGTCTCGGCGGTCGGGTCGAAGGGCACATAATCCTCGTAGGCCTCCTCACCGAGGGCACGGGCCTTCTTGGCCTTTTCCCCGGCCGGGGCCGCGTCCTTCTCCTCGTCATCGGCGGCGTCGGCGCGCGAGCGCTTGCCAGCCGAGGCGCCAGGAGCCGCGGCACTGGGAGGAGGAGCACCAGTGCCCTCATCGACGGCGTCACCGAAAATCTCGTCCCAATCGATGACACCCTCCTCGGTCTCGGCCTCATCGGCGGCGGCGGTAACCTCGGCATCCTCCGGCTGGTCGGTGGCGCCGTCGGCATCAGCACCGGCCTCACCAGTGGACGGCTTCTTGCTGGCAGTGGTGTCACGCAGGTCGGCACGGCTCCAATCGGCCGACACCATGATCTTCGAGAGGATCTGGGTGACCGGCGTGACGGCGTGCTTGGTCTTCTCGGCCAGCTCCTCCTCGGACAGGGGGGGCGGCGGCACGAAGAAGGGAATGCGCCCGCGAATGAAGTCATTGAGCACCATCTTGGCCACGGTAGGGATGTCCGGCTCGCCACCCTGTCAGCATGTTGTCCGCATTTTCCATCCGAGCAAGCGGGAGGGGCGTGGGGAGGGGGGGAGGGGGGGGGGACGGTGTCAGCATGCGGGGCAGGAAAACCACCGAGGTGGAGGGGCCGGGCGAAAAAGAAAAAAAGAAAAGGAAAACCCCGCCCGGCAAAGGCAAGCCAGCCGCGTGAGGCACACGACGCACCTTCAGCAGCTTACCGGACCGGGTGGCAATCTGGCCGAGGAAGTCGAAGCAGTCGGTCCACTTCTCGACACCATAGGTCTTGACAATGTACTCCGGCTTGACGCGCTTGAGCACCTCATCGATGTGGAACTCCGGGTCGCGGAGGTTCTCCACACGGACAACACCCTTCAGGACGATGTCCGACTCACTGTCACCGGTGGGGTACACCACACCCGGGCAGTCGATGAGGTACAGGCGCTTCATCAGAGTGATGTACTGCCAGACCTACGGAGGGCCACCGGCGTGTGTGTGTGTGTGTGTGTGTGTGTGTGCGTAATCACAAAAGGGGACCCAGAGGGAGGGGGAAAGAGAAGGAAGGCATGTCAATCACCGGCCAAGAGTCGGGAAAGGAGAGTGACGGGCGAGCCCTTTCCCCCTTTCTCGCTGTGCCCCATGCCACCACCAGGACGCAACCACGCACCTTGGTCTCGCCCGGAATCGGGGCCACCTTGCAGACGGCCTTCTTCTTCAGGGTGTTGATGATGGAGCTCTTGCCCACATTCGGGTAGCCGATAAAGCCGACCGAAATCTGCTTCATGTCGCCGTGGAGCTTGCCAAACTGGCGCAGGAGCTGGATCAGCGAGCCCTTGCCGTAGGAGTTGTTGATGGACGCGTGGAAGGCCAGGGTGGGGTACTCGCGCGAGAGGACCTTAATCCAGCGGGCCTACATCGCACGGAAAGCCAAAGGATGGAGGGTGAAGGGGGGGGGGGAGAGAGGCGGAAAAAAAAGGTAGAAAGTCAGAAACGAGGCCGAAGGCAGGGAGGGGGGAAAGAGCAAACACCAGGTGCCAAAAAGAGGGGCAGATGCAAAATAGTCACCGCGCCGGCATGTCCCAGCCGACAAGCAGACGCACGGTCACCCAGGTTGGGATCAGGTCACACTTGTTCAGCACGAAGACCACATGCTTGTGGGGCTTCTCGCGCTTGATGTACTCCTCGGCGTGGTAGCACCGGGTGCCAGGGGGGTTGCGCGCATCCAGCACCTGAATCAGGACGTCCGACGAGTCGATCACCTTGTACAGCTCGCCCCAAATGCGCTTGGACTGGCCCTTGGAGAAGATCGGGTCCTGAACCAGATCGCGCGGCTCCAGCTGCATGGTGGCGTTCTTCAGGTCCTGGTCCTTCTCGGACTCGTAGCTCTCCTCCTTGGTCTCGGCCTGGCGGAACATCTCCTCCAGGGTGCTGGTCGCAAGCTTGGGGCGCTTGCGAAGGGCCTTCGGCCCGAAGGTGGTGCTGTACTTCTCCACGTCCAGGAGGCGCATCTTGGACTCGGTGGTGTTCTCCACGAGCAGGCTCATGGGGAGCTTGTGCTGGCGCAGCAGGACCTGGTACGGGTCGTTCACCTTCTGGGAGATCTCCTCGCGGAAGTTCTCCAGCTGCTTCTGGTCAATGACGCGGGTGTTGCCTAGTGGGGAGGGAGGAGCAGACGAAGGAGGGCAGGGGGGGGGGGGGGGGGGAGAAAGGGAGGTCAGCATGGGAGAAGTGCGTCAGGTGGGTGCCCAGTGCATGAAGGTCAAGACACACCGAACCAGCGACGGTCGGGCTGAATCCGGCCGGCCGGGGTATCGGACGACTGGAAGGAGGCCTCGCGGATGACATTGCCCATACGGTCGCGCACGGGCTTGCCCTCCTTGTACATCTATTATGTGGAGTGGGCCGATAGAGAGAGAGAGAGGATGGTGAGCACTTGGGCAGAGGAGGAAGAGGGGGAATGGGGGGGGGAGGGGAAGGGCGAAGAAGATACCAAACGAAAAGCAATGATGCGCGGGCGAGCGAAAATGGCGAGGGTGTGTGGGTGTGGGGCGCATCGCGCACCTTCAGGCGCTTGAGCTTGGCATCCTTCTGGTAGAAGTTGGCGCCCTTCTCCTTGCCGGCGAGGGCATTGTGCGGCTGCTTGCTGCGGACGCCGCCGAAGGCGCGGGACTTGGCGCGCTCCTGAAGCTTACCGACACCCATTTTGTGGAAGGAGACTGTCTCTCTGTGTTTCTCTCTCTCTCGGGCGGTGCGCCAGAGGAGGTGTTTGGCCGAAAAAAAGGAGGGGAGGGGGGAAAAGGCTCAGGGAGCGGGAAGGGGGAGGGGGGGGAAGGGGGGAGCGGGGAAAAAAAAAACAACAACAACGGTGGGAGTGGGGGATGGCTCTGTGAGGGGCCGGCCTGAGCGAGGCCCTTTTGAGGATGGTGGCCGAAAAGGGGCCCCCGTGCCAGTACACCAGCCTGGGTCCGCGTGCGCGTGCGTGTGCGCGCGGGGGGGGGGGGGGGGGATATGCCGCGCGGTGCAAACGCATGGGCCGGCCAATGGCATCCAATTCCACGGCCCCGGAGCGGACGGGCTGCCCCGCCCGCAGGCCGGACCCTTGTGTGTCTTGTCCGGCGGAGGACGGGGCAAGGGCCGCCGGGCAGAGTGTGTCTCCCACAGGCCGCGCCAGGGCACCCAAAAGGGGCCACACACACACACTCACGTCCCCTGCGGTGCCCCCCCCCCGCCCTTGCGCTTGGGGATCGATCAGCAAACCGCATGGGGATGCGGTCACATGATTCTGCCTCGCGTTCACACACGAGGCCCCATCGGCCATCCCCACGGGGGGGGGGGGGCGGGGCTAGGAAGGGGCGCTGGGCAGGGAACAATGAGGGGGAATCCGAGGCAATCGTACTGGTGCGACTCGGGGCGCCATCGCCGCCCCGCCCCGTCTCGCCCCCCCCCCCCCCCCCCCCCCCCCCCCCCCCCCCCCCCCCCCCCCCCCCCCCCCCCCCCCCCGACGATTCTGGCCATGGGACCGCGTTGCTCTCCCCCCATCCCCCCCCCCCCCCCGCGTAAGACGCCATTCCCGGACGCTGGGCTCCTGGCTGGGTTGCCGCCTCAGGCGGGCTCCCTTTCCGCTGCTCAACAAAGAAGGGCCACCCATCTGGCAGGCCATCGAAAGCCGAGAGCACCCCAGTCCCCCTTCTCTCTCTCTCTCTCTCCCACTCCTGTTTCTCTCTCTCCCTCTCCCCCTCTCGCACGCGCTTCCTCCTGCTCCAGCCATGAAGATCCGTATGCTTTCGCGCGATGCGGCGCAGACCACCCGCCCTCGGTCGAATGACCTTCCCCGGCTTCCCCGCAACCTGGACCCCGAGCTGCATCCCTTCTCTCAGGCTCGGGAGTACACGCGTGCCCTGAACGCCACGAAGCTGGAGCGTGTGTTCGCCAAGCCCTTCGTGGCCGCCCTGGACGGCCACCGCGATGGTGTCTACTGCATGGCCCGGCATCCGAACCACCTGAGCGCCATGATCAGTGGCTCTGGCGATGGTGGTGCGTGGGGTTGATGTGCTGTTCTCCCTTCTTGGTTTCTTTCCCCGGCCCTTACCCCGCATGTGTCTGCCCCTTCTACTTCCTTCCCCCCCTCCCCCCCTGAAGAGCTTCGCGTCTGGAACCTCATCAACCAAAAGACCGTCTGGTCTCATACCGCGCACAAGGGCTTCGTGCGCGGGGTGTGCGTGGCCAATGATGGCCGGTCGATCCTCTCCTGCGGTGATGACAAGGCCATCCGCATGTGGAACTTTGACTATGACAACAAGAACTGGGCCACCGCCGTCACCGAGGAGGCCGAGTCCGTTTGGCTCGATGACGAGGGCTTTACGTGCGCCCCCTCCGCCTGCTGTTGCTTTTTTTTCTCCCTTCGGCCCCCCCCCCCTACCCGCGATCTCGCCTGACACCTGTGTTTGGTCCCCTGCTCCGACGTCTCCCCCAGCTCGATCGATTACCACCGCAGTGACCAGCTCTTCGCCACTTGCAACAGCTCCGTTCAAATCTGGAACTACGAGCGGTGCGGCCTCCTTCTCTCTCCGTTCCCCCCCCCCCCCCCCCGCCTGATGATCTGCTTCCAAGTCTGACGCCCAGCCAGCTCCAACCCCCTGTTCAACCTCTCCTGGGGCGCGGACTCCCTGCACTGTGTCCGGTTCAACCCGACCGAGACCCATGTCCTGGCCTCCGCCGGCTCCGACCGCATGATCATGCTCTACGACATCCGGACCAAGTCCCCCCTCACCAAGCTCACCCTGGCCATGAAGACCAATGCCATCGCCTGGAACCCCATGCAGGCATTCAACTTCACTGCCGTGCGTTCTCTGGCAATTCCTTTCTCCCTTTGCTCGGCCCAATCCCGGTCTTACTCATGCTCTCTCTCTCTCTCTCTCCCTCTCTCTGCCCCCGTGTGTAGGCCAATGAGGATCACAATTGCTACACTTTCGACATGCGCAACATGTCCTCGGCACTCAACATCCTGAAGGACCATGTGTCGGCCGTGATGGACATCGACTACTCGCCCACCGGCAAGGAGATTGTCACCGGGTCGTACGATTGCTCGATCCGGCTGTTCCGCGCCAATGAGGGCCATTCGCGCGACATCTACCACACCCGCCGGATGCAGAGGATCTTCTGCGTGCGCTTCTCGCAGGACAACAAGTATGTTGTCACCGGTTCCGACGACACCAACCTGCGCCTGTGGAAGGCCCGTGCGGCCGAGAAGCTCGGCCCCGTGTCCTCGCGCGAGCGTGCCGCCCTCAACTACGCCGACACCCTGCGCGGTCGTTTCAAGCACATGCCGGAGGTCCGCCGGATTGCTCGGTACGTGTCCCGACTCACCGGCTTTTCTTCTGTTCGCCCAATCGGGGCGTTCGATGTCGCATTTCTTTCCCCTCCACCACGAAGCCGGCCTCAGTGGCAGTGGCTTTCTCTTTCCCCTTTCCTGACTGCGAGTCTTCCTTCTCTCCCCCCCCCCTCCCCCTTCTCCGGTTTTTCTCTCCCTCTCCCCTGTCCCAGTCACCGTCACATCCCGAAGGCCATCCACACGGCTGCGCGTACGAAGCGCGAAATGAAGGAGGCCATCCAGCGCAAGGAGGACAACATGCGCGAGAACTCCCGCTCCGGCTCCATCCCGCGTGAGGCCGAGCGCAAGAAGAACATCGTGTCCCAGAGCCGCTAAGTATCCAAACGATGCCGCATTGTTTGGTGCTTGGATTTTCCTTAGACGCTGCTCCGTGTGCCTTTTTCCCTCTCTCCCTCTCTCTCCCTTCCCCCTCCCCGCATCTCTGCCTCTTTACTCTCCTTCCTTCTTGTACTCTAGTGTCTGGGTGTTTGTCCGTGCCTGTGTACATACGCACATGCACATGCACGTACTTACGCTTGCCCGAAGCGATGTGCCCCTGCTTCATGACGCAGATGGTGCCGCGCCCGTCCTTCTTCCCCTCCCTCTTCATAAATATATTTACATTCAAATCCCCTGTCCTCGCATTGTGTGTGTGTGTGTGTGCGCGCGCGCGCGTTGCATCCCCTTCTTTCCCGCTGTCATGTTTTTCGGCCCGCTGACTGGCACATCCTTCTTCCCCAGCCCTTCAGCCATGTTGTGTCTCTGTCTCGAAGTCCGACGAAGCGTATAGGGATGTACATTTGCCAGGATGCCATGAAAATCGGTCTCGTGAGGAGCATCAAGCAACGTGTGTGTGTGTGTGTCTCTTCGACCTGAGTCGCGTTCTTGCTGAGCAGTCGGATCACAGGTCCAGATCGGCCAAGTCCGCCATGCTGACATTGCTTGCAGCAGCCGGCGGAGCAGCGGACTCCGTCTGGTGTCGTTTGGAATGGGCCCCGGCGTCGTCCTGGCGAGCAGCGCCATCGGCGCCGACAGCCCCCTCGCGGAAGCGCGCCGAAGCGAAGAAGCGCGCCGCTCCACTGGATCGGTTGATACCCATTGAAATGGAGGCAAACTCGTTCGGGTGGCTGATAGGCCGAATGTCGTCGTCCACCTGGACCGCAAGAGCGAAAGGCGAAGACGGGGATGAGGGACGCAAATCAGGGCAGAAGGGGAAGGAGGGCGAAAAAGATCGTCAGGAGGAGGAGGAGCCAAAAGCAAACGAACAAACAAGCCAACCCCAAGCAGAGAGCGCACCGGCGGTGGAGCCTCAGTGCCCGGGGCCTTGGTGGCCTGGGCACGCGACTGCCGCATCGATCGCAGCAGTCGACCGCACGCAAACTGATAGTGGCTCCCCTGGACTTCAGCTAGCAGGGATGGCATTTCGGCATCGCGCAGATGGTAGCTCTGCGCCAGGCGCCGGAGCTCCGGCTCCTTGGATTGCCGCAGGGGACAGCCATGCTGCTCAATGGCATGCGGGCCAGACCCGCGCGCTGGCGGATCCCCGAGAATGATGCTGCGGCAGCCGAAGGGCCGAGCCTGCGTGCGCGAGCCCTCGCGTCCATAATCATACCGGATGTTGTAGGCGTAGTTTCGGTCAAAGGCATCTGGCGCAATCTTCGGCCCGAAGGCCCGCTTCCAATATGCCAGTGACTCTTCCATCGGAACGCCGAGGCCCTACACCCGGGTGAGGCGAGAATGGAGGAGGCGGGAGACTTGCATAAGTTTGGGGCAGAATGGCAGCAAGCACCGGGCGCATGTGCTGTGGTGGGAAGCGAGAGGCCGGAAAATGGAGGAGAGGGGGAAGAAAGGCCCAAGCAGGAGAAAAGGGACGAGGGAGGGGGGAGGGGGGGGG